TGCACAACATTATATTATTATTATCAATTATAGGTTGTGCGGTTTAATATTTGTGGAAACTGTGATAATTTTTTAGGGTTTCTTTGATGAAAAGAAAATTCAAAAGAACATCATTTATTTGAAAGAGAAATCTTTTGTAACATTATAAATGTCTTCACTGTCACACAAAACAAAAAAACAACAAAAAAAACCTTAACCCCGAACTATTAAACGGTAGTGTTAGTCAAGAATAAACATTGATTCTATAATGACGACTCTCTGTTCTCCTATCTGTGTTTTTGATTGGTAGGAATTCTTACGCAATATACCGGGCAGCCTATTGTGTGAGGAGCTATATGAGCAATGGCTCCAAGCAGTGGAGCAGAATGGTGAAAGAAATGGACAAATGATGGAGAGAAACCTGCTACAGAAAGTTCAGAGGTAAAGTCCCAGTAACACTCTGATTAGTTTATCAGGTTTTGTAATGCTAGTTGGTAAAGAAGGATAAAACCTTGATAATGATGGATCAAGGCTATGATATCACAGTACTGCACACCTTAAGCAGATTTAGATTTAGTCGCCAATTTCCTTTAGCTTTATGAGTTATATAACCGTGAAAACATTTAACTTTGATGTGCTTTCTGCGCACATTCACAGGCTTGTTCAGCTTTTATCTAAAGAAAATCTCCTGCTGCTGAGACACATGATAGCGATGCTGCACCACATACAACTCAATGCTGAGCACAACCAGATGACCTCTTTTAACCTGGCTGTGTGTATAGCACCTAGCTGTCTGTGGAATTGCAAACTATCGCTATCGCAATCTCATGAAAAAGACGCCAAAAAGGTAAGCGCACATGCACATGCTTTATTATTACCAGATTACTATACAGAGGATCTGCTGAAGTAAGCATCATTATGGCTCTCTAAAGAACACGAAAATGGCAGTGAATGGAAAATATAATAGACATAGGAAAGGAAAGGTAAATGTAATTGCCAATGTAATCTGTACACAGGTGTGTGACCTT